AGCTTGAGGTGTTTATCCCAGAAGCATGGACTTATGCATGAGTGCACCTGAACTCAACCATCTCAAACCCGTGAACCCACTACTTCTGAGTTGATGGGAATGATTAAAGATCTTCAAGAACCGTGACAGATCTGGCCTCCGGGACATTGGCTCATCATCGACCACACCACATACCGGGAACTTCATGTCAAAAGGCTCCCCGATCTTGGGACGGGCTGCATTTGAGGAAGGCAATCCCTTGGCAAAGGTGAGGCGAGTGGAAAGAACAAGGTAGGGGCGGACATGGATCCCCATGAACATCTCCTGTTTGCTGTTAAGGCTTTGAAAGCCGAGGGCTAAACAAAGAGCAAGTCCTCGCAGTTGTTGCAAAAGCTGTGGATGACACTTTTGCTACTCAAGTTGGGGGCAGTCTGAATCAAAGGGAACATCGGGAGAAGGCTGTCATACCAAGCGATCCTGTTATCTCTAATCCTCACTTGGAAGAGATCGGCAAACCAGGCCTCAAATCTGATACCCTTGGGTAAAACTGATTCTTCACATTCTGATGCCCCAGGCCTGATACCCAGACTTGCAAACTGATATATGCATTCCTGTAGAGACGCACTCTAAAAGCACATAACAGATAAGTGAGAGCCAAACACCCCTATGTTGGGGTAGGGTTTCCTTGTCCTATTTTGTCAGGAGCTAGGGTTTCACTACGCACGTAGCGGCTTCAAACAACCTATCGGGTAAGCAACCTGTCCTAGCTTGGAATGGTCACTATGGATTCCGAATATGCACTAGGTCGAATGGTCAAAAGGGTGCCCGGAAAATCGGGGTTTGTGTTCCCATACTGGCAGGCCCATAACGGTCAGCCTTATGGTCATGCCTTGACAAGACAAGCCTCCGCAAACCGTTCAGGAATACAGATGGCAAACACGGTGTCCTAGGCGCACCAATGCAAATGCAATGCAAAGAAACACACATGTAGTCAAAAACAGATATCATGAGTTCGAGTCAAGTTCTCTAAATCCCAGCAGAGTCGCCAGAAACATGACGATATCATCAATAAAGTCTTTTCAGAATTCTCTCAACATGTATGATTGATGTTTATTGAAGACATAATTAATGTGAACCCAAGTCAAACTCAGGTTCACATTGGGGGCAAAGAAAAGGCAGAGATTATTCTTTAATTCACTTGTTGAAATTTGTAGCAATTTACAAGTTGAAGTTAAGCCGAGATTACTGCTTCTCTTCGCTTGTTGAAATTTGTAGCAATTTACAAGTTGGAGTTAAGCTGATTCCTTATCTTCACTTGTTGAAATTTGTAGCAATTTACAAGTTTATGTTAAGCCGACATATGATCACCCGCTGAGGTATACAGAAATTTACAGGTTGAAGTAAAGGCTAAGTATATTGTTTAAACACTTATTGAAATTTGCAGCAATTTACAAGCAGATTATTATTTAAAAAAGTTTACAGTATATATTAACACTTGTTGAAATTTGTAGCAATTTACAAGTAGGTTAGACCGAGGTCCCTGTTTAATACTTGTTGAAACTTGAGAAGAAGCTCGCAAAGTTTACATTGAGTAGTATATGTTTTATACCTGTTAAAATTTATGCAAGGTTTGCAGGTCAGTATCTTGCCGAAGTAAAAAGTTTGGTAGTTATACCCGAGGTATGTAACCCCGAGAAGATTGCACAAAGGAAGCAAAATGGAAAAGCATGCAAAAATTTCTAAGTATAGAATTATGCAGAAGCAATCAACAGAACATCACAAGATTAGAAAATCTATAGAAAGAACAGTTGCAGTTACATATTGAAAAAGCTACATCGGCCATAAGAAGGAGTTTTGCATTATCCAGAAATTAAAAGAGAATACAAAACGCAAAGTGCAGAAAAAGAAGGAAAAAGTACAAAAAGCATTATCAAGACTCTTCAGTATTAGCAGCTGCAGGGACTGGGACCTCGAACGATTCTGGTGGAACCTCCTCGGCCACTTTTTCCGCTTGTATCTCGGCATCAATCTCTGCTAATGTTTTCTCAACACTTCTTTCTACCAAGACAAGGTCGGATGATAGTTGCCCGATGGCAATTTCCTTGGATACCTCTCCAACCTCATCACCCTCCTCATCCAAGGTTAAATCCATCACTTGCTCAGCAGGAGGAGGGGACTTGGCTTCAGCAACATCCTTAGGTTTCCTCACCAAGGCTCCATCATCATTATTCTCTTCATCCTCATCCTCAGCATCAGCCTCAGTCTCTGATTCATCTTCAGTCTGACTTGGAGGAGGAAATGGTAAAGGAATGACGTCGGCATTACGAAAAGGCGAGTCAACAGGAAGATCAAGCTTTTTTATCAGGGACATCCAACCAAGGGAAAATCCCCTATTGCATGCCTGCCTGACTTGGAGTTTATAGTCCTCAGTAACATTAGCCATGCCTTGTGCATAGGCCTTTTCGTCGGCCTCTTTGACTTCGGCCTCTTTGGTGGCCAGAGCTTGCTGGAGCTCTTTCTCCGCTTGGGCCTTCTTAGCCTCGGCCTCTCTTTTCTCGGCCTCAGCAACGTTTATTACGGCCTCAGCGGATTCGGCCTTCTCTTCGGCTAAAGTTTGGGCTTTAGTTGCGGCCTCGGCCTGATCCTCCAGTTTTTTCATTTTTAATTCAAGGGACCTTATCTCCTTCTTCAGAGAGGACGCCTCCCTCTTCATATCAACCAATCTTTGACGATTTTCAAAAGATTGCATTGAAAATGAATGGGCGTGTTGGATGACCTAAAGAAACACAGAAGTGTTAGAAAATATTCTCAGTAAGAAATAGAAGAAAAAATCACAAGTGCAAACAGGAACACTTACCTGAACAGAATGTTGGAGCATGAGAGCGTAATTCTCATACTCACTGAGCTTAGCATTTCGCTCCAAATCCTTCGGAAGGAGAAGAGCAGTGCTAAGAGCGACACCAACGTTGATATCATCGCCACTTTCGCTGGCCATAATAGGCCTGTCCTCCAGAGTTAGTTCAGGGGCCCATGGAACGTCGGGTTTCTTAGACGCCGAGGTCGTCGCAGACGAAGACCTCGACTTTTTTGATTGTGTAGACCCTGAGGGTTGGGCCTCAGCAGACCTCTTGGTGGAAGCAGAGGTTGATTTTTTACTTTCTGCCAGCTGAGAAATAGGCAAAGCATCCTCAGCCTCGGCATCAGTAGCCTTGGGCTTGGGCTGAGCCTTTTTTACTCTCTTCGGCTTTGGTGGGGGCATCGCATGCGTTGGTACAGCATCGGCGTCGGTTGGAAGGTCGGCAAGAAGATCTTGAGCGACAGGCCTTGGACGAACCATCTCGGCAGTCTTCACAAGCCTTCGTCGACGTTTACGTTCTGGAATTAGTATTAAGTAGGGGGCCGAAGTAGATGGCAGATCGACTGGGTCAGAAGTGGATCCTTCGTCTGCCCGTGATATGGAAGCAATGGAAGGAGTTGTGGCAGAAGGTGGAGAAATACTCTTTTTCTTCTTTTTTGGGATGTCGGGTAAAGTGGATTTATATGTAGGGATGAAGTTTAGTAACAGTGGGGCTTTTCGTTTATGGATTGAAAGGTTAAGGAGTTTTTTCAGATCTGTTCCTGGGAAGAAGGATTGACGGAAATTTTTCGATGGCTGATGAAGATCTGCAGGACAAAGAAACAGACGTCAGAAACAGAAAATATTAAAGACTTAAATAAAAACAACTAAGTGTTGGCTCAGGGCTCTTACCCTTGCCCTCTTTTACTGATCGAGGAAGAGGGTAGAGGTGGACATCTTCATCTGGGCCAAATTCCTGAATTTTCGAGTGTGCCGTTGTGGGTGAAGTTGTATAATGGTCCTTTGGAGCTTTGGACTGAAGAAGGTTTGGGTTACATTGCTAGCATCATGGGAATTCCTCTTTATTTGGATGAGCCAACTTTCAAGAGAAGCAGACTTACGTTTGCGAGAATATGTATTGAAGTGCCAGCAAATAAAGAGATCCCTAAGTCTTTCAAAATAAATCTTGGTTATGGTGACCCATATGAGATTCAAGTTGAGGTACCATGGAAGCCCCAAAGGTGTGATGGTTGTAAGACTTTTGGCCATACCACTAATTTGTGCCCTCAAAAGCCAAAGTCTTTGAACCCTCCCTCTTTCAAACATGAGTGGAGAGTCAAGGACACTAAAACACAAATTCCGACTAAATGGGAAGTGGTGAAGAAAAAGGGGAGAGATGGTGGGCAAGGTTCAACGCCATTGATCAACAAAGAGAGAGAGACGCAGTCTTCTCTCCCCTCAACATCTAATGCCTTTGATGTCCTTGAATCGTGTGATATGGACGAGTTAGGAAATGGAGATTCAAGTCAAGAGTTGAGAAATAGAAGGAGTCCATCTCCAAGTGATCCTAGTTATGGGGAGACTTCAAAAGAGGATAACAGAAGAAAACTTAAAGCGAAACTTCATGACTTGAAGAATGCTAGAAGGAAATTCTGAATCCTTGTTTTGTTGGGAATGTTGTGCTTGTTTTCTATAAGCTCAGTTTGTTTTTTGATGGAGTAGTTTATTTTGTTTATTTTTGTGCTCCCATCAAAAGCTGTGTGTTGAACTTCATTGTATATTTTTCTTTTTTGGTTATAATATGACTTACTTATCCAAAAAAAAAAAAAAATGGAGTAGAAACATTGGTCTTAGATCAAGACAACTATAGTGGGCTAAAAGTGAGGAATTTGAGCCTTAAGTGTGAATTTATACATTCTAAAGGCCAATAAAAGCTTGCTAAAGAGGTTACTTGAATAAATTTCGGAAATAGAAAGTTATTCAAACCTTAACATCTAGGTTGAAGCAAAGATAAAGCATTTGGGAGCCTCAAGAGAGAAGTTTGTAGTCTTGCGAAGTCATGAGAGGCTTATGGAGGAGTCCTAAGCAGCCTAAGACACTGATATGCTATTAGAAACACGCCTAAGACACTGAAACTTAGCATTCATTGCACCTTTGTGACATGTGGTTGGAAGAATGAGATTTGATTTATTTTATGTAGGCTTGATTTGAGGATTTCTTAATTTTAATAGCTAATTATGTACTTTTGTTTATTTTAGGATTTATTTTCTATTTTTATAATTGGACCTTTGTGGTTGGCATGTTAAAGCTCTTCGATGGTTCAAGTTCCCAGTGTGGTTGATTCGAATTCCAACTGTTGGCTCATGTTCCAATGAGATTTGGGTTTGAAGTCACAGGGAAACTATTGGAGAATTGTGTACATTTATTCTTGTTCATGTACCTAGGTGTTTCACATTCAATGTACTTTGTCATTTCATCTACCCTTGTGGCTTGTTGTGTATATGTAAAGAGGTGTTTCTAATGAGTTGTGGTTAAGCTGAAAATGAGTGAACAATTGGTGTGAGATGTGCAAGTGTAAGGCCAACAACTTGGGTGAGAGGGTGTGTTCTTCGAGGGTGAGAGGGAGTGTACAAGTGGTTCAGGTTTGGGTGTTCAAACTCTAGTTTATTCTTTTACTTTTTATTTGTCGTAGTTAAGATGGTTCCTTTCATGGATGTAGGTAGGATTTTGTCAAACCACGCAAATCTTGTGTGTTCGATCGTCTTGATTTCATCTTTATTTCTTTCCATTGTTATAAGTGTCTAGTGTGTTATTTTTTAACCTCAATTGTTTTTCTGTTGCGCCCCAGCACAAACCTCGCATAGCGCATGCAAGTGTTCTTATTGGTGTTCTTACATACATCATCTATACTAGTGCCACCTCACATTTTGCAATAGATTTAAGTTGAGGATGCGCCTGAGGATCTCTGTTAATAGAATCCTTATGATTTCATGATTTATGAAACATCGACACGAGTCTATAGGTGAATGTATTTTAGGATAGAATCTATTGTGAATCACACAATGCACAATTGATTCACTTTTTGTGATTCAGGTCATTCTTGAAACTATTGTCTCTAACCATTTTTTACCTATTTTTTAGTAAAAATAACATAATACTACTTTTATGAGTGTTTTGTATAAAAATAAGATTTGTTGATATTTTGGTGATCAATGTGTTTTTAATACGATCTAATTAGATCCCGTCAAACCAACATGTTCTTAATTTTTTTTAACTCATTTTCCCCCTTCAAAAATGTCATAATGCATCTTCTAAAAATACATAAGGATAAAGTAACTTGCAACCATGAATTATCTATCTCTATTAGGGTTTAGGGTTGGTTGGTTCTTATATCAATTCCATAGGTACCTTGTCAAATGGAAGGATAGCCAATTTTGTATGCTACTTGGATGACAGATGAGTTGTACTGTTTTGCCTAGATATCTTGGAGCAGTACCACAGTCGTCACTCTTCAAAATCGAGTACTTCTTAGCCAGGGAGAAATGATGGAGATCACGTGAGACCTGTCATTCATTGCAGCTATGTGAGACAGGCAGAAGAATCAAAACTGACTTATTTCATTCAGGATTTCTTAATTTAGGAGCCAATTATGTAATTTCATTTATTTTGGGATTTATTGTCTATTTTCATATTTGGACCTTTATGGTCAACCTATAAATACCAAGCTTATATTAGGAGGCACCTTTGATATTAAGAACAACATTGAATTGAGAGTTTTTGCTATTGTTTAGTTTCTTTTATTTTCTTTTTCCATTGCTTGTTCCAATTTCCTTCTACCATTTGGCCTCACCATCACTCTAGAAGCGCTCCCAAACCAGTTTCTTACTTTTGTGGGTCTTTCCATAATAAAATAAATAAATAATCTTAATCATAGATGCGTGGCAATACAACTTAAGCACTTTAACCACATGGCCTATGTAGCACCAAGGTATATTGATAGGAATTATGTCTGACACTCTGGCAACAAGATGAATACACCTTGTAATGTCCAACCTTACTTTTTTAAGTAACTTTGACAAATTGACATTATATGTGTGGTTGCTGTGAGCCAAGCACGCAATAGCCACTTTTATTATTAGGTAAGTATATACTTGGGAAGATTACTGTAAAGGATGGGGGTAAATATAATATAATATCTAAATGAATCTGTTAGCCTTCACCTTCCAATCTTTGTATAGAAATTTTGATAAAGGGTAAATTACACCATTAGTCCTTGTAATTTAAGCAAAGTGTCACTTTAGTCTCTATAGTTTCAATTTGAACAATTTGGTGTCTACACTTTCAATTTTATTGTAATATGATCCCTTTGTCACTTACCGTTAAAATTTGAAATGGAAAAGACTCTAAAACTAGAGGAGCCAAAGTGAAATCCAAAACTACAAAGACCACCGATATAATATATTCATTACACCGGTGGTCCCTCTAGTTTGTTTTGATTTTTACTGTGGTCCCTCTAGTTTTACACATGATTTTTTTCTATTCAAAAGGTTAACAACACGTGATGGAGGGACCAGATTGCAACAAAATTATAAGTGTAGGAATCAAATTGTTCAACTTAAAACTAAAAGGACCAAAATGAAATTTTGTTCAAACTAAAGGGACCAATGATGTAATTTACCCGTTCAATAACTATTCATAGTTATGTGTTAGTCTTGTTTTGCTTGCTGAAAAAAGTAGAATTGTTCAACAGCATATTACTTCTCCCAAAAAAAAAATAAAAATAAAAAAATTTGAGATTTGTATATTGTCATGTCCTCATTGTGTTGTTGTCCTACTCTTAGGTTTTGTTGTACTGGTTTATCGATGTTATATTATTTCCTTGTCTCGTGTCTGTTGTATAAACCATTTCCATAGGCTTTATAACCAAATAAAAGGGATGACTGGTTACTGCTTAAATATTTTGCTTCTGTGCTAGCTCTTTATTCTTTTCTTTTTTTAACGGGGGGAAAACTGATCATAGATTTTTTAATTTCCTTTTTAAATTATAGGAAGCTGATATTAGTGGATTGAGTAGCAAAACACACATGAAGACGATGCTTAAATGGATGAGGGGGAGAAAGATGCTGAAGCTATTTTGCAATCATGTTGGTTCCAGCAAGAAATTCTTGCACTGTACTCAGCCTGAAGAACCTCAAACTGATCAATCAAACAACTCCACAGAACTGAAACTACAAACTGAGAAACCTTCCACAAGAAGGAAAAAGAAAACTCTATAATGCATATGTGCATTGGGTGTAACTAGGTCTGGGAATATTTGTTGAGCTCATTGTATTATTTGAGTATGGTTTTCCATAGACTTAATGGCTACTTTGGGCTTGGTTATCCATATTGACTTAATAGCTACTTTTGTCTGGATGTGTTATTAATTCTCAGTTTTTACTTTAATTGAATCAATGACTAGTTTGGAATGGTAGCTTTAATGCACTGCCCAATCCACCCTCCCCCTTCTTCATAAGAGCTTTCTTTGAAAAATAGATGATTGGTAAGTTTGTCTTGTGTTTGGTTCAAAGATTTGGTGAGGAAAAGGGAAAATGTAGCTGTCTTATGTTGTCTTATATTTCACACCTTTCGCACACTTTTTTTCATTTTTCTTTTTAAATTCTTATCCAAATCCATGAACCAAAAACAATCTTACAGTGTTATAGAAGTCATGTTGTGGATGTGACGCATGTAATAGCCTTTGCAGCATGTACTCAATTATCTCTAGGTTCCCTGGTGGAACATTCAATAGCTGATTCAATTAGTTGTCATTTACATATGGAATACCATGATTTGCATTTTTCTTCCATTTTTTTCCATGTATACACACCCAGTTCTACAATTCAATAGGTTGAATGTTGTGTTTTTAAGGATATGCAATGTTGAGAATGGCTTATTGTGATAGGTTTAGATACCTGTGAGCTCACTTCAGGAAGTACATATGTTTCTCCTTGTCATCGTTGACCTTGGTTCATGTCCCATGAACAAAATAACGGGGGACTTCTTTTTTTGAGTTCTGTAGTTGAATGAGCAGGCTTCAATCAAGTTTGGCCCGTCGAATAGAATACAAATTGATGTTGTTGGGATGACTTGTGCCTGAATGGGAAAAAATATTGTATTTTGCAACGTTTGTGCAACTCAAAAATAAAATGATATTGAAAAACAATTGTATTACAAATGCATTCGTGTTTTGTAAGTTGTTCATTTATTTATAATGCTATCATATCATATCATAATTGGGTTTGTGTCAAAAAAAATAGTAAAATCTAATTGCTAATTTCATGTGTCAACTTGTATCAAACAATTTCATTTCTAATCTGGTGCACCTTGCAAAAAGCATTTGACAGCAAGCATAATAGCTGGCTTATTGCTATGCCATAAACTCTATCCCACATCGCAAATGAAGTTGGCGACACATTAGTATTTCATAGAAGCATTGAAACAACATAGGTGCTGGATTCAATTAGATTATCAGCTGTAATTTTTTTTTTTCGTAAAGAAGAAAAGATAAAAGGGTACAAAGAAGCTTATAAATGAAAGTTTGCAGTGACTATGACTATGACGGTTTACATAGTAGCATACCCAATGGGGCACCCCATGAACCTTGCTAGAGAATG